AAGTCCAGGCTGGATGAGCCTTGAGCAACCTGATCTAGTGAGGAGGTGTCCCTGCCCATGGCAGGGGGGGTTGGGACTAGATGATAAGGTCTATTCCAACCCTATGATTCTATGACCTCTAAGGTGCCACCAGCATGCATTTAGTAAGCAAGTGAATTTAGTTACTATCAAGGATTGAGAAAGTCTTGAGTACTGTGGCAGTTTAACATTCAAGACAAAACCAGAAGAATTTACAAAATAGTTGTCACTTGCTGTTTAATTCTATTTCTTTTTTTCCCCCCATTTTGATGATCCAAGGATATCTACTTTTGCTCTGCAGCTGGTAATTTTAATACCTTTGACAATTGAAAGTCCTTGTCATGTATTAATTATTGTATAATCAAAAGAATTTTTCCTTGACAAATCATAATAATTTTCCACATTTCTGGGAATGCAAGTCAACATTTTGCTATGGTTCATAAGATGGTTTTGTCAGTGCCTTCTCAGTTACTGCCATGCCTGCTGTGTAAGTGGTTTGAGTACTGTCAGAGGAAACACAGATCAGCTTTACAACACACAGTTGAGGTGGACTGCCTTTTTGTCACAGTATGTCTTTAAAAAGTAGCACCTACCATTAATGTGGACCACCTGACTGTGCTGTAGAAAACAAACAAAAACTGGTGGATGATATCAGTGAGCTTATCTACCAGTTAATCCTTTGAGTTATTGTAATCCAGATTCCACAAACACTTCACTGATCCTTTCAGTTGACTCTCACAGAGCATTTATGCCTTTTCTCTTTACTTTTGAAGAAAAAAGTTATTTCTGTGCTTTGAAAAAGTGGCAAAGAGATAAGACTAAAAAAGAAATATGAATCAGCATAGTGTTTACCACAGGCAATAAAAAAGCCCAAGATAAGTAGCTAGGTGTTTGCGTTATGGTAGATGTACTAAGCTAATTTCTGTTCCATAGCTGGAGTCTTAACTATGTAATTAAATTCAGTTTCAACTCCAGTGGGTTCACGAGTACTTACATAACAGCTTGAAATACTTCTTTATTCCAAATTTTATTTCAGGAGGATGGTTAAAGGCTCTCCTGAATCAGATAGTACTGAGTAGGCTACATTTCAAAGGATGTGAAGGAATCGACAGTGATGAAAAATCTAGGTGTTGAAAAGGAGAATTTATCTCTGCACAATAACCATGAACTACGGCTTTAGTTTTTTTGCTGATCATTGAAGTAGTAGGTTTTCAAAAAATGTGAAACACATTATTTCAGCTGGCAAAGTAGAGGAATTTTGTGCTTGAGACACATTGACCTCATGCAGTAAAAGAGAGGGAAATAAAGCGTAAATATTTTCTTTTGGTTCCAGGATTGTGATTTTGGAGGGGCAGTTGTTGTACATAGCAGAATTTATAAATAGGTTTTGTGTTTCCTTTTTGGAAGGGAGAGCTGCAGATGCATTCTGCTTTCATGCACACACCTTCTCTTCATGTCATCTTTTCCCATGCTTGTCAAACACAGCATCTTCTGTCAGTTTTGAGAAGATCTTTCCTTTTTGTCTTTTATTTGTTTTTCTAGACCTCAAGTAAATGAAGGATATTTGTGTAATTGCCCCGAAATTGTTTCTTTGTAAAGTCTGGGGAATTTTTAAACCTCTAAACATTTCAATTTATTTCATGCTATTACAAAACTAACTTAGTTAATGCCAAAGGAACAGCAAATATTTTACTAAGAACTTTTATTTCTCTCAGCTTTCTCAAGCCAAGGCAGGAAAGCTAAACCCACACGTCCATGTGGAGTATGACTGGAATCTCCGGCAGGATGAAATTGATGAAAGTGATGATGACTTAGATGATAAGGTAGGTGTAAATTACTGTCAGCATTTCTGCTCCCTGGAAATAAATGCTAATTCGAGACACTTTAAAGGGTTTTTTTCCTTACAGATATTTTTTGACAAAACCCCCCAGTTTTGAGGCCTATATTAAAGACTGACAAAGAGCTTTCTGAATACACTTTGTCAACCTAGTTACTATGGGCTTAAGTTTCAGAAGTTTCACTTTGACAAGACATACAGAATAATATAAACCACTAAATCTAGATTACTTTGTTGTAATTTTATCCCCTCCTGAATTCTGGCTCGTTAAATTTTTGCTGGAGGAAATCCAAAGCTCACACACTTATTTTTTCCATAAATTAATTAAAACCCTAGTTGTTGAATAAATAACTCTTATTTTTCACAAACTGTGCTGTGCTATTTATTCCTGTTTGTAAAAAAAAGAAGTAACGGAAAGACAAAACTTGAGGGCATAGGATAATTGCCATCCTAGAACATGTGAAAACTTAGCCTCAGTGTCCTACTTTAGCAAGTCAGTTAATTACTGAGTGCTCTGTTTCAGTAATAAATGCGAATACACCTCTCCTATTTTATGTGAGTGCTGTAGAAAGAAATGTGGACAACTTCTCATTTTCTGTGACACTTGGGACTGAAAAATTCAGAAATGGAAATAATTTACATGTCCTCAAGGACAGTAGAGAACAAAATGATCATCTGTGGAAGGAGCCTCGGGAGGATGACTGATACTGTGCTGGAGATATAGCCTGAACCAGAGCTGCAGGGAAACAGATCATGCTCCATATGCAGCTATTAATGTACAGCAGGCAAAAACTGATGTGTAGAATTTCTTCAAAGAGCAATTACATGCATTGAAAAAGAGCTGCATCATGGAATATATTGGTAGTTCCGGCACCAAATAAATCTAATCTGTCAGAAGTGTTTGTTTATTTATAAAATCATCAATGGCATAATATACTTCATTTTTCAGGGTAACTGCCTGGTCTGAGTGCTACATGCACTGAAATCTACTCTTATATTCTACAAACATTGCTAGGTTTTTATTAGCATATTATTTAGTATATTATTATCTTGTGTCTCCTGCTTTAAGTTTAAATCAAATTTTGTGTGCATGATGATTTGTTGATGCTACAGTCTTTCAGTCAGAAGAGAGGACCTTTCAGGCTGAAGTGCTGAAAAAGGAAGGAGTAGGGGCTTATTTGTCCAATAAAGGAAGAACTTAGGCTTGTGTTCACTAGAACATGTTCTGGTATATTATTTTCCAAAGGTGTTAACTAGATGTAGTGCTAAGACTGCTGTGTAATATATTTGTTTTTCTATTCACAGCCTAGTCCTATAAAGAAGGAAAGATCTCCAAGACCCCAAAGTTTCTGTCACTCTTCAAGCCTTTCTCCCCAAGACAAACTGACTCATCCTTCATTTAGCACTCCCAGAGACAAGCAAAGACTCTCCTATGGAGCTTTTACCAACCAGATCTTTGCTTCTGCAAGCACAGACTCACCCACCTCTCCAACTTCTGATGCTCCTCCTCTTCCTCCTAGAAATGCTGGCAAAGGTAAGTCTGTCTCCAAACCACACGTGGAAGCAGGGATTTTCCCAGTTTTCCTCCTTTAACCAGGTACATTGCAATGTTTCGAGATGTAGTGTGTTTTCATTATTACATTGATGCAGTGATATGGTACAGTGCATGTTTTAAACTTATAAAAGGGGTGGGCACTTTGTACTCATTCATAACTGCACATGAATGGGTGAAAAATAAACTAGTACTCTGCTAAATAAAAGTTCATTTTATGAGACTCACTCTTTCAGCTCTAGTGGATCGTGGTGGTTTGACCTAGATATCTATAATGTTCAAGTGTAGAGGATATATTTATGGAACAAAATTTGTTGCTGTGTTATAATTTATGCAGATCTACTTTTATAAGACAAAGAAACCCTTCATCTTTTGCTCCCTTTTTTCATATTTAATTTACAAATAGACGAAGTGTTTTGTTGGAGTAGATTTGTTACGAGGAATCTGTAGTTGTGATGAAAGCTACAGGATAGTCCAACACTTTGGCAGTTAGGCTGATGTTCCCTTTTGTTAGCACTGCTCCAACTTCATTTTTCAACTGGTAATTAACTTAGTTTAAAAAAAAATGCAGAGATGCTTTCACCAAAATGTGAAAGAATAAAAGGGACAGGACAGAGTGTCTTGGCATCAGGTGTTTGCTTCTACATGGTTCAGATGCTGTGCTTAAGGACTGAAGTTCTGCCATCAGTCTTTGTCATGTACTGGCAACTTCAGAATGGATCCCTTGGCTCTCCCTTTTCAACAGGTTTGTTTCCCCGTTACGAGGCAAAGTGATTTTGCCAGGGTTTGCATTTTTCACATGAGATTCCATAATCCATGTTTCTTTATATCAGTTTCACCGTGGACTCAGTTGTGTTCCTTGTTAACTTTACTGTGTTGACCTTCCTGTTGGCATTACAAGATTCTAGTTTTCCCCTTTCTCTCCCCCATCTCTTCTACAAGCTCTGTCTCACAGTCTGCTGTGGACTGTCCATTGCAGACAGATGTTCCTTCAGGCTGACCTAGGATAACATTTTTTGTCATAAAGCTCAAAGACTTGGAAACTCATCATGAATCCCATTCCTTGAAGAAGGTTAAGGAGCTTGTCTTGTGTCTGTCTGTACACACTGCTCAGTGTGCTGTCAGCTTTCAGTGGATTGTAATGAACATTATTTCTTTGTCATGTAGAGCTCATACAGACTTACTCAGAAAATTGTCTTTTTCTTCAGGTAGGGGAATATTTATTTGCAGATTTCATTCTAAGTTTGTATTCTGTTTTCAGAAATGTTAGGCATTTTCCTAGGTGTTCCTGCAAGTTCCTAGGTGTTCCTACACAAGTGAATCAACACAACACCAAATCTACTTGGAAAGAATCGAGACATTGAGTTCTTAAGTGTTTTCATGTCAAAGACCACACAAAAGAAATCCTTGTTTATATTACACCAAAATAATATGATATTATCACAAAATACAGAGAACTGTTGCCTTCCAGTGTAACATTAACTGCTTCATCAGAATGGAAAATGCAGATTCACAGGGTAAGTCTGAGTGAGAGGTTGAATGAAACTGCTGTTACAGTAAAGCCACTATGCTTTCTGCTTCAAACGTGCCAAAAGTAAACAGTCAGTGAGTGAGGCTGATTTTTTTTTTTGCTTGATTTCGATTCAACAATAATGTAAAGTATTTAATGAGTTTTAGAAGTTTCCATTAAATACCTGCCTGTGGTACAGAAATAATTGAAGACTCAAAAGGGAAACAAAGTGACAAATGCATAGGACAATTCATCAGTGTGGAAAGGTCACTTTAGACACATCACTGCAGATGCACTTATGCTTCATTATAAACTGTGCTGCATCTTGTTATCTCCCCCCTTCCAGCTCCCAAACAGATTGCTTAAAAGGAAAAGAAGCAGATACTCTTCACTTTCATAAGACACTGGTGACACATGTGAATTTTGATACAGTCTGAGTTAATTCTGTTTCTGTAGGAAAAAATAATCCTTTATAATTTATCTGCTCTTTTGTGGTTAGTAGTAATAGAGTGTATCCCTTACATCAAAGTTTAACTTAGAAACTTACCTATAAAATCCTTTCTTTTGTTAGAAAAGCTCATTTTAATAGCTTATTTGAGTTAAGATCATATGAAAACATTGTATTATATTTTGCACTAAGCTCCCTAAATAGCAAGATTAAGAAAAACATGGAATCTCTAATTAAATTTAAGCTTACCTTCTGTCCCCAAACGTAATCTGATCTTTGTCCCTGTGCTGCTGTGAGGCCCTGACAGATATCATGGGACCTCCTTGGACATGGAGAGAGTCTGTAGGGAGCTAATTGCTGCTGGGATCTGTATTTTAGAAGGAGGCAGATTTTAATGTTTCATGGGGTTTTTTTTATCCTTTGGGACATACAGATAAAAGTATTTCCAAAACCTGTTCTGTATTTAAACAAGTCTCCCCTCCCTGTAGTGCCCTGTAAGCTGGTTTCATTGGCCAGTGAGGGTCCTGGGCAGCCACAGTGCATGGGAAGCCATCCAGTGAGAACTGGTGCTGGGGACAGAAGGTAAGTGTAAAGCAATTTACAGAAGGCACAGCACTCTTGCTCCTGGTTTTCAGTGAGCATGCTGGCTGAAAATAGTTGGACAGGTAGAATTGTTGAAGGAGGTGATATGGAGGTGTTTTAAGTTCAGACATCATTACAATGCACATTGAGATTTTTCAGTTTGATAAGTTTTCAGAATATTCCTAAAAATGCTGGAATGTTCAGGTGTTTTGCTCCAAACCATCTCATCTGTGCATGCATCTTACTTTTTGCTATCTCTGCTACAGATTTAGTTAATTCTAATAGAATGAAAGGTACAGAATGAGTTCCTGAGCCAACCACTGTGTGCCTTTTCCACTAGTTTATCTAAACTTACATAGGTTCAACTTACTTGTTTTGTCGGTCATGTCTTTAGTTTGTAACATTCTGAAAATCATCTTTTTTATGGCTCTGTCCAGCTTAGGCCTGCATTATGGCTTCAGACATCTTAGCAGGTCTTCTGCCTGTTGTTTTACAAAAAGATTTCAAAGGAAAGAAGCAATATTTAAGGAGTTGCACAACTCACCACATTAGCTAAATGAACTTTTTCACAACATTCTTTGCATATCCAATGTGAGGGTAATGTTGCTAACTAGTGTTGGAGGAGTGTTGAGCAATCTAAGCCAAGTTTCCTTCATGTTAGCTGAAAGGTAATTGATTTTTAATGGTTCTGCCAAGTTCTCTTGTATTGGATGAACATGGAGGTCAGGGATCAATTCTGTGTCATGAAAGTTAAGTTTGGATCTTCGATACCTACAAGTCTGCACATTTTACACTGTGTCAGCTCTAACACTAGGTACACAAACCCAAAGGCACTTCCTCTGTGGTTCCATTCCACTGTTTCTGCAGACACTGTGTCGTATCTTCTGCTCCTTCACTAGACCAGACTCAATTTCTAACCAGATTAGCTTATTTGAATTTACCACTAGCTTCTAGAGGTCATCTGGCTCCATTGCTCTCAGGATTAGGAATCCTCAGAAGTCCACTCAATTCCTTTGTACATGTACCAACATTGTCACTTGGCTTTGGTGATTTTTCTGTCACTGGTGTCCATATCAAGTCGCTGCCTGAAGGACAATCGTACAGGTTTCCGTTTCTGGTTTGTTAGACTAAACAAACCAAGCATAGTTCACCTTACTTGATAGAAGAGTATTTTTATTCTCCTGTGATTCAAGTTATCCTTCCATCACACTAGCTCTTCTCCATACCTTTGATGTTTAAATCAGCTTTCTGAAATACAAGTGACTGGAAGCATCAGGACAGCAGTAAAATTTGCTGTTTCTGCTAATACCACATCAAAATATCCTTTTGTCCTACTTATTTTTATCACGAGTGTACCATACTGTGGCATACCAGGCATTACCATACTCTACCACCATTTTCAACTGAAGCCCTTAATATATAGCACAAAGGCTTCCTTAGTGTAGAATTTTAATCTTACATATAATACTGTTGTATTTCACCTCATTTCCATTACTTCAGTCTTGAGGACATCCATTTTCTTCTGTCTCTTCTGAATGCTTTGCTTTCTACGTCTCTTGTCTGTACTCGAAGACTTAATTTTTTGAAAGTTCTTATAAATGTGTTGCATGTTTTGATTAAATAATGTTCATAATCCCACTCAAACTCCGTATTTTTCAATCCCTTAATAGGAAGGGAAGGCTAACTGACCACTGTTGGTTTCATGGGCTCTTCTATTTCTGAATCAATCCAAAATACAACATTCTTTAATATAAATTTGGTCTCTTTTTTTTTCCTACAGTACCTTTTTTAGCATTAATTATAGAATGCACTTCAAATGCTAATGTTGAATCAATGTATATTCTTAGCTTTCCTATCCCAAGTGATCGTGATCATTTTTTCTTTAATTATGGCCTTATTTTCAGTACTGAAAAAAATATCCAAAGTAAGGCAAACTGAAGAAGGTTTTTAGTAATATCCATGCAAAAAATCACTCGTGAGAAATTTAAAATGAAGAATAACAACACCTGTTAATGAAAATACTTTTTTTTTAATATAAATTACTTTCCTTTGCAGTGCCTGTTCTACCATTAACTGGAATTCTGGTTCTTCCCTATCTCTCATTAAGTGGTAAAAAAAAGAAAGAATATATATGTGAGGTTTTTACACTCTAAACCCAACATTTTTTGATTGGATGGCAACAGCTTCGCATGGTTTCATATGGACAGAAAATTAATTGTTACTGTACTAACTGCACAAAGGCTGAAGGGCAATGCACTATTAATTGCAGACCTTGTCCAGTTACTTACCTTAGTACAATAATTTTGAGATCATTTGGTCTCTTTGCACATGAAAGCCTGGTCCTTGTTCTATGAAAAGAAAACCTAACAGAAGCAAAAAATTCTAGGTCAAGATTTTATTTTTTTTGCTTGTGTTAGGAAAATATCCTTTATGAGATATGAA